AGATATAACAACGGGGAACAAAAAGACGGTACTTTCAAGAGAAAAAATGAGTGGAATGAAGAACAAAGAGATACGAGACAAATGATGACGTTGAAAAGGTTTAAGAAGGATCAAGAAAGAAAATGGAATGTTGACGAGACTGAAGAAGAAAACAAAAGGCGTGATAAGAAAACTATAAAAGTGCTCGATAGTAACGCGTTACTGCTTCGGTCACTGCTGGGGAGCGCAACTTAATGCGCATATAAATCAAAAGTTACTTGAGTGCGGCGAACAGTTAAACTTTCGCCACTTAAGTGCAGAGAGAGGTAAAAAATATAGAGGCTAACGTAGAGCTAGAGGTACGCGCTTCACTTAAGCTCGAGGAACGAGAGTGAAAACGCGCCGTGCAAACGTACATCTACATGACCGCTAGATTAAGGAAAACACGTATTAATTGCTGTACCGAAGTGCCTTACCGCGAGATAAATTTGTTCCATGAAATGAGATACTGCACTGCGCAAGAAGGAGACTTCGAAAAAGAAACGACTTCATTTTAATTCGCATGAAAAGCAAAAACGAATCGTTTAAAGAGATTGTGACATTTCGTCATTACATTTATAACATTACGCGCAGTACAGTTATAATACGCGATTTCAAATTACGTCAAAAGTTTAGATTTATGTCAGTTTCTTCCTCTGCTACATCCAGGATAATCTATTCATTGTTTTTATATTTTATATATATTTGTATTATCATGTATTATCTTTGCGTGAATTGGTCATATCATATTGGAAAATTGGAAGAGAAGTTTTTCAAAATTTTTAATGTTTTACAAGTTTGTTGCACTCTGAAAAATTGTGAACATTTCGCAAAAGTTGTTCTTTTACGAAAGAGTCATAGCGCATAACATTTATCAAGTGACATTTATTTTATTTAAGAGCATTCCATAAAGCTGAAACTTTTATTTGCATCTATTGCAACGATCCAATATGACAAACTACGTTATTTGAAAAAACAATTGCAGGGAACATCCATTCTTTACCTGATACTCTGTCTTGAATTCGTGCTCCAAGAACGAGAGTCGTCGAAGTTCCCAAGAGAGCTCAAAGGCAGTCAGGATGGGATCCTTAGACGATAGTGCTATCAAGGATGGCGATGCCAACGCCCGATAAGCATTTATTCGGCTTCTCGAATGCCTCAGGGAATCCTCCATTCTCGATGTCACGCATTCGTCGCATCTAGCATAAATAACAAATGGCAACGACAAACCGAAGTAAAAACAGCTCGGTAGATCACTTGGTGTGAGCGTATCTCGAATATTTCCCAAGGCGACCGCGCGTCTCATGATGTTATATCATCTTTTAGGACAACTGTAGTCTCTTTTATCAACATCTCGACCGTTACGCGACGAGAAATCTAATTTGAATCGAGAAAAAGTTAGTTACTAATCTAGAACTTTTTATTACGAAGCGTTTTATTTTTATGTACGAAAGGAATACGCCAAAGAATTTTAAATAATAATATTTTTCGCATAAGAAGTGACATTTTCGAATAAAAGCTATACTATAAATAAAGAATGTAAAATATACTCTGCTTTTATCTGAAAAGTGGCACTTTTTAAAACTCGTATATATGAAAAATATTGTTGTTCATACTGTTTCGTGTTTAAAACTCTATTGCATTTCTTTTCTATATACAAATATCATTTATTTAGTATTTTTATATTTTAAATATAAACACATGATATTTTTTCGTGTAATATACAATAATGTAATATAATGTTTATCTTCTATTATTTATGCGTAGCTATATCAATAAAGAATTCGGATAGTTTTCTATAGTTCCAATGCAAGATATGAGACAGAAAGTTTATGAGCTTAATATAATGTAATGCTATTATCATAGATTAAATTTTCTCTTGGAAAGTGGCAATGGTGGTAACGTGGCGCTCATGTACGCTTAGCCTAATTTAATTAGCTTTTGTCGCGTCGGTACAAAGAGATAAGGCGGTAAACCGGTCGGGAGTATTAATTATTCTCAAAAAGAGCGTTCTTACTTAGATCAATGACTACATATTAAAACACTCGCAGAGAGAGAGAGAGAGAGAGAGAGGGGAGAGAGAGAGAGAGAGAAAAAGAGAGAGAGAGAGAGAGAGAGAGAGAGAGTAATTAATGCTCATTTTATTATGAGGAATTCATTTCCTTTTTTTTTCAAAAAATATCACATATAAGTATATATCATGTAATTATATTCAAATTTTTAATATTTACATTAATTATATTGTATAATTTATATGTAAAGAATAATTTTTTGATTAAAGTTAAAAATAAAAAATCTATTAAGATAAATTTTTTTTTTTTTTCAAAATTTTAATATTTACATTAATTATATTGATATAGTTTCGTTTTCTCTCTATTCTTTATTAGAATTATCTTCTACTTTAAAACGGCGTATCTCAATGAAGTTACATTACTAAGACAATGATTTGAATCTTTTATTATGTGTAAATGTTTTTTGTATGAAATTTTATAAGGGAAAATATTTTATTTTATAATTTATATTTGAGCAATAATTTTCGTTACGCGCGATTGTACTGTGAATTGCGTTCAATTTCATATATAATTCTTACTTGTCATAAAAGTGGTCAATAAACTTTTGAAGTGTCTTACCCACAGCGAACATCGTGTGGCATCGGCAGAGTGGATCCACGATCTAGAAGGATCTTTATGATTTCGTAGTTGTCCCTATGGGCCGATAAGATCAGCGGTGTAATGTCGGGCGTAAACGTGGCTGTATCAGGAGGTAATGCCTCCCAACTCTAAAGAATTAAACCGCAAGTAATTACTTTCATAAAAGTTCATTACTCGATATTCTTTCGCGAGTATAATTTTCATTTAGTTTTATTGGTCTAAAATTATTATTCACGAACTGTTTTTTTTTTTTTTTGCAGTTATCCCTGTTTGTCGAGTGTAATAGATGTTTGAATTAATCCCTTTTTAGCGAAATAAAATAACATGAGTCATCGTAATAATTCTCTATCTTGACAGAGAAGTAATAAAGTAATACGATTAAATGGGGAGACATTTTGTGTCAGGCAGACAATTGACAAATAATCTCTCATGATGTGAAGTCGCACTGCCATTGTACCAGCGTAATCGGCTTAACCAGTCATCGCCACGGGCGGTAGACTTTTCTTCACGGGAAACCAATTCTCCACCATATAATGAATTCGTTCGACGCTTTCGAATATCATTCCATCGAGAAGTTCTGTCTAAGCTGATTTCTTATTAAAGCCGATTAAAGTTTTATTCAAAATTTCGCATTCTTCTACTTTTTTCTCTTGCAATTCGTTTCCGTTTCCCCAAGTTACCTGTTTCTTTCTTTGCTTTCCCGAACAGCTTTTCAGTTGTTTGCTTTGACGGAATCGTCTTTATGGCCGAAAGGAAAACCAATTGACGGCGGAATAAAGTACAGAAAAACCGCTGGTAAACCGAACCGAAACGAGTAACCAACTTACGATCTAATTAATTTTTAGACTCTACATATTTCATTTATGTATACGACATTTATATTAAAAAATGTATTGAGGATGATACAATTTTATTATTCGAATCAAATTGGTTCATAAAAAGCAAAAAGAAACGGGAGAGAGCAATATAATTTATATGTAAAGAATAATTTTTTGATTAAAGTTAAAAATAAAAAATCTATTAAGATAAATTTTTTTTTTTTTTCAAAATGTCATATTCATGTCTAAAAAACAAGCATTTTAAAACTTACATGTGGCTCGCCGTTTCTATGAAGGGTTTCTTCATGCTCCAAAAGGACTTCCACTGCTTCAACGAATTCTTCGGAGATAGCGTGAAGGAGTGCATCCTTGGTATCGACCTTGTGCTCAATTAAAAGCTCCACCATCTCCAGGTTTTCATTATCGATCGCCATGAGCAGGGCCGATCGCCCGAGAGGATCCACGCAGTTGATGTTAACGACGGTATCATCGGCTTTTTGGAGCATTCTACAATGACAGAAGAGTATTCGAAAGATTGATGAATTGCCGTTTAACATTTGTAGACACACATACTTTTACATACAGGAATTCCAAAAACTGAATGTTCTTTTCACTGCAACATTTATGCGACCAACTTAAAGATATATTTTTTTAAATTAAAGATGCGGTTGTCATTCCAATTTTTAACACTGTTTAACTTTACAAGTATAATTCAAATTAACATTTTTTAAAAATTAAAAATGTCCGAAAAATATAATTTTGTTTTATTCTCTTTTTCGAAACTTAGTTTGCCAAAGATCTTTCATTTCCACCTCGATATTTCCGGTAAAAAAATTTATTTCAAATCATTCAAAAAATCTATAATAAAAACAAAAAAGATCCGGTAGTTTTGATGTATAAATCTAAATAAGTTTTCAATATAATTTTGCGGAAATTTAGAAGAACCTATTTCTTCAGGTTGATTCGGCTGCTTTCAAATCGAACATATAGGTCATTCACATAGAATCATATAACGATATTAAATGCTATGCTAAGTTACACACGAGGAATTTCACGAGAGTGAGAAGTTAATCATAGATCATAATCAATTCCAATTACGTCAACATGAAGAGAAAATTCCTGACAGTTTCATAATCATGCGAGCAAACTTCCTAAGAAATTCAAGAGGTTCTTTATCACAACTGGTGAAAATTTATTCATGTATATTTAAGAATTGTAAAATAGCACGTAATAGATTGTGCTTCGCAATAATATTAAGGAATAAACTTTTAACTAAAATTATAAACTAAAATTTATTAAATATAAATCTAGAAAGAATAAGCAGAAACTCTATAGATTAGATCAAATTACAATATAATTATGTCTTATAGTTGACTACACATATTTTTATCGAACACACGTGTTAAAATCAAATTAACGTTATAAACTGCGGACTAAGACTTATTGCACTTTAAAGACTGTAAGTGAAATAAAGTTTTCGAGCAATTGTAACATTTAACGTCACTGAAAAAGTTTATTGCCATTAGAGTTTGCGCGAATGTTCTTTTTTTTTTTGTACGCAAGAAGTTTCATTTCCTCGCTGGATTTCTGTTCGCACGAGATAAATTTTTTTGCTCAATGCAGTTATCTATTTTTACCGGCACGTGTACATATATATGCACGTGTCCACAATTAAGATAACGAGAATAATAATCGTATGCTTAATTCAGGAAGGGTTGGAAAGATGTCGGATGTCGAAAGGATCATAAGGCTACACGTGTATACCTCGTAAATAAAACGGAATTTACCAGCGCAAATAAATAAGCTCTCTACATAAACAAATACTTGACATTCTAAAGTAAAAAAATTTGATTATATATATATATATATATATATATATATATATATATATATATATATACATACACAGACATTGTTCCGAAGCGCAGTCGGCCAGAACGAATGAAATCCGGAATAAATTCCTAGTTACAAGCGCGCGAGCAAAAATAAAATCCACTCGCCGTTGGCGTCGGCATGCCCGTCGTAAATTTCATGCCGTCGCGGATGCACCTCTGTTACAAGATATACATAATCCAAGCTCGTTCCATTGTCAATGCTACCGAGCTGGCGTTATGTATATGTATGTACGAATTACATTTCTCTCACGCTACCTCGCGAAAAGAAGACAATGCTTTATTTTTAACTAGGAACGGCGACTTGCTCTTCGTACCCGTGTCTATTTTTAACAAGTCGTTCCACCTGCCATTTATATATATATATATATACATACACAGAAATATTCTCAAACTGTTAAAAAATGAACAAATATTTATTTAAATAATGTCGCGTTATGAGAATTTCGCAGTGCATCCGCGCATTGACATTGAATGATATAAGTACTAAAGTATATTAAATTAAACGAGAGATATATTCGTTCTTTATATGATTTTTAGAGTATAAAAAGATCAATGGAATTCATAAATGTTTAACCATAAATTTCAACTCACCTTCTAACGGAAGCCACGTCTCCGCGCTCGACGGCAAGAAGATATTTCTTCTCCTGAAGCGACAGGGTGGCCATTTCCTGATGAGGTCGCACCACGTTCTCTTCCTCCATCATGCCGTGTATGCTGTGCCTCTATAAACGTAATAGTAACTTAATAATAATTTTCTCTTACATAAATCGAAATATATATCTAACAATAGGTATATGATATAAATACTATATTGGATATTAGCTGGCAGTACATTTATAATCTTGGAAATTAATAACGTTCCTCTGAAATCTCACGAAGTATATTAACGACATTCCGACAGATTTTTTAATTACTTCAATTCAAATGTGGATGTTGCTGAGAAAAATATTGTTCTATATACATGGCGTTTCTAATAATATAATTTCCGCAATAATTACAACCAACGTGAGACATAAAGAGTCGGTTGTATTTTCTCTTGTTACGTATCTTTACATAATGTTCTTTAAAAGCTTTCGCCTGTTCGTCTCCAAATGTTTTCGCTTTGCTTTATCTAGTGCATCGCACCATTGTTGCGACTCGTGCATTACATTACACATATGTATTTCGTCGATCTAGGCATCTCTCTCTTATTCTGCTTTTCATCATTATTGTAATGACTGTGCGCAATTTAACGCTCGCTATGCGATTTCACGCGGAAACTGCATGCAGAATTTGGTTAGGGCCAAATGCGTCCGCATGCAAGGGTAGTTAACGAGGTGAAATGCAATCGGTCTGAAGATCAATTGCAGTCTCTCATGGTTGCATTCGAGGAATGTGTAACATGAACGTAACATTACACTCTGCGTGCTTTACGTTTCAATCGATCGTTTCCTCTTTGATCTACCGATTCCTTGATAAATCTGAATTTTAATTATGAATGAATTAAACATTTAATTCTACTTATTAAGTTCTACAAATTTTTTTTCATAAATATATACATATATATATATTATTATTATTATTTATTAAACATCAAATTAAGATTTTATTAATATAAAATTTATTTGAACTTAAACTGGAATTAAATGCAAAATTTGCATTATCTATTTGAATTCCAAAAATTTAGTTCGTCAAAATTAATCACTTATGCTGTTTAATTACTGGATGCGAGATAATATTTTATTGCGGTTTAAAGTCTATATTAGAATTTTATAAATAGTGTATGAACAGCATAATTTTATTACGAAGATATAAATCAAATTATCGTCGACTATACAAATTATATTTCGCGCGCATAAAATATTCTGTGTGATTCTATTTCACGTAAGGCTCATAAAATGTGCTTAACAGTTTGTTTTAATTGTTGCTCGTATAAACTGGTTCTACGTACAATGATAATTTTATAATGTCATAAACGACGATGCATTGAAACAGATATCAAGCCGTGAATTAACGCTGTTTTATTATCGATTATCAAAAGTTATTGAAACACAATTATTGAAACACGCGCGCATCGGCCAGCACATGTACGTTGCGTGCCTTTTCTCTCCGCAATAAATTCTGTCATGATATCTGTCATTCGACGATAGCATATGTATTATGTTCGAAACTCGATCCATAAATGTCGGACACGTGTACGACGTATCGCGGAGACACAAGCGTATAACTTGAGCGTAAATCTTGACCGGACGTCTCGGTGTTTCATCGGATCTTCACCTTGATAGGATCCACTTTTAAGGGATAAACGCGTGGCAGTTATATAGCGAAAAAGAATCGCGCGGGCCTCAACGGGCCGTAACGGCATGTATATGATAGACGGTGTTTGTCGAGGGTGCGCCAGTTCGACAATTAAGGTGTGCCCTTAGCAAACACTCGTTGTCAGTATCGGCCTTCGCGATATTATATTCTAGTATCTTGAGTACCTCGTCGTATTAGAATATACACACTATGCTTCCCCCTTTTTACGTCTGTATCTTTCTCTCCGCATCTTCTTTATCACTTAGAAATTAATTATAACTAGATTTTGGATTTTTATGATCCAAAATCAGAAATGTATACATGAGCATATATTACGATGTAGAAAATTCAAGTTATAATTATTATTATATATAAATGTTATAGATTATATATTATTATATAACATAATATATTATACGTTTAAGAGGTATACAAAATTTATGTAATAGAGATTTAATTCTTAATTATAAGATAAATAGAGCGTAATTTTTTACTTAACTCTAAATAAACTATTTTGTTCAATTTATTAAACTAATTTTTTTTCCTGCTTTCCGTCTCTTCGATAATTTGCGAAGAATTGAGTGAAATGAAAGTAGAATGTGTTTCTGTATGCGGTCTAAAGGTATCGAATTCGATTGTTCTTAAATCCTTCTTAGATCTCTTTCTAAAGTTCTTTTCTAAAACCCTTTCGCGTTTTATGGTACTTTATTGTGAAAATATTAGGGCAAACTCGGAGTATACAGAGAACAAGTTCCGTTTCGCACTTGAATTGTATTGACGACTTAAATCTCGGATATTGATTTTCACTTTACGAAAAGATCCCTCATCGCTAACTTTCAAAACCTCTGTTTTTATAAGATAATGAGAATTTCGTGAAAAAAAAGATTTGCAAGCAAAATTCCTTTTAATTTCGCGAGAAGATTCCCTTTTGCCTTCTTCCGACAAAAAGTTGTTTCCGACAGAAGATGGTTTTACAAACAGAATTAAATCCCCAGGTAAAAAAGGGAGAGCAAAGATAAGCGCAGAAACGCTCACCAACCGTGGCATTTCGCTCAGCCATCGAGGATTAAATGCTTCGCTTCAGTGTTCTTGTTACGCGGAACAACAAAGGATTCCGAGCCTTAATGCGAGCAGAGGTTTTGGTAAACAGACACCTAACAAAGCCCATAAATCCTATATCATTAAGGAATCATTCGGTCTGCAACGTATGTGCGGCTCAAGAAATAATCCAGTGCTATAAATTTTATAATTTATAATTAACACGGGATATACATTTTATCCAAATAGAAATTTAAATAAGTTAGTTTACATTTCAAACAATTATATAAAAAGTTCTATATTTGATAATTTTTACTTTTATTATATTTTGCACAGTTTATAATTTAGCTATTTAAAAATATTGAAAGCACTGAAATAATTTTTTGTCTCTTTATGAATTCAAGAAATGATTCGATATAAAAATATTTTATGAATAATAATTTGTGGTGATTAATAGAGAGTTTGCTAAAGCTTCCACATCGCTTAATTAGCTACAATTGAAAAGAGTAATTTATTTTTTATTTTGATTGTGCAAACAAAAATACGTGTCTTTCTATCAACCTATTTTATGCATTAAACTATGGTTATATCAACCATCTTTAATGCCTATTTAGGTATCTATATCTATTGTCTCTATATTTGGTCTGTATTTCTACTCTGTCCGCATTTGCCTATTTCCACATACATTGTCTGCACGTGTAGTCTGTAATCACTGTCTGTGTCCGACTAGACGTTGTCTGTATCTACTGTTCGCACTCCTGACCCACGCACGCGTCGATGAATGTACTGTATACGATGACACGCTATATATCTGCTATTTTCGTTGTACAATAACATGTTGATCTATTATCGAGATCAACTGTATATTATCTATGACTATTTTCACAAAACTATTAGATTTTGTGAAAAGTATATATAAATAAGAAAAAAAAAACATAAATTAAATCTACAAAATACAAAATTCAGGAGAAAAGCACAAATCTTTTTGAAATTAAAGATACAATTAACTAAAAATTATAGGCATATATAATGCAAAAAATGCATTATAAAAATTGTTTGATCAAAAATTTCTTAACTGTCATAAATAAGAATTGAAAAATAACAGCTTTGAATCTTTTGTAAATCTTACTTTCATCGAAAATTGATCGTTATTCGAAATTCAACGAGGGTGGTCGCGAAATTCGTTTACGTAATATACCAGTGAATCCAGTGGGTGCGTTTTTGCTGCGCGAGCTCACTCGAGGACATTTACGAGGCACTAAAAGATGAAAGTATTCCGCTGCCGCTGGAGCTTTTCATCCCCGAATAGATTAAACGCGTGTGTGTAAAGTGCGTGTCACGATGATAGAGCGTTACAGGGACGTAATCGCACGATGGTTCTGATCCTGAAAACAGGAAGACGGAAAAACGGGGGCGTTTCCTCTGTCATTCTTAGCCTTTTAGGAAATCCAACCTATTTGCCGTTTTACGAGACGATAAAAACGAACAGTTCCCTTCAGCTACTCAGCACGAATGTCCGAGAACACGCACGAATTTTTGTGTCTCCGTATTTTATTGCGAATATCTTCGCGATGCGGGAAACGATACGTTAGTAAAGAAAACTAGTTTTCCCAAATTTGACACGCTTTCCGGCGACATTTTCGGAGATCAACTTTTACGCTTTACCGTTTATAGAATATCCACTTTCAATTTTTCTCTCCTTTCATCACGCGAGAGAATCGCGAGACAATATTATTAATTATCCATAAAGTCGCAGAGAACGATTTGAAAATCGGACGAAGCTATTTGCAGATCCGTGCCGTGTCTAAATAATGCATATAGTCGCAGATAAAATAAACGAGGATTTCGGCCGAGCACGAGAGGAGTTTAGCCTTATTCGAAGGTTAAATGTCTGCGCCATCGATCAATCGCAAGCTCGGCACACTGATATTACACATCCCTGCCAATCCTCCTCGGCCCTTATGCAAAAATAAACAAGTCCGGTCCATCACGCTGTCGTTTGCATTAAACGTGGTTATCGAAACAGCATTAAGATTTAATCTAACTTGACCCGACCCTTACTAACTGCGGCACCTTTTTTCTTCCTGTCGACGGACAGGCGGAAAATCAGGCAGAGAAGAGGCAAATTGCTATCGTGGCGAACTTCCGGCGAGAGGCAATAAAGGAATCGTGAAAGAGGAACAGTCGTTTCTCTTCTTCCTTCCCCCCCCCCCCCCCCCCCCCCCCCCCCCCCCCCCCCCCCCGCCCTCTCCCATGACCTCTTCCTCGTTCTTGTGATTCGCAAGCCAGCAGGCCGCGTACAAATTGGATTGACATCAGAACGTCATTATCGGCTGCCGCTTTTCCTGTTTCTTTCGCCGCTCGTCAAACTCGAGTTGGGATTTCCGGCGCGGCGCTGAGGGAATTTATGCGAACGGAAACCAAGGCGCTATTTATTTTCAACCCTCAGAGAATCTACGACCCGATAACCTTTTCGCTCGTCGTATCATTATCGTTAGAATCGTGATTTAAATTGATAGTGGTACAACTGTTACATTTCTCGCGCGGATTGATATTTATATATCAAGAAATGAAGTCACAATAAAAAGACGATAATAAATTAATTAAATTAAGATAAAAGAAAGTCGCAATGTGCTTAAATATAGCAAAAATTATATAATGATTATATGATACAATCTTGATAATAAAATTATATAATGATTATATAATATAATATCGATAAGAGTTTTTGAAATTTTGCGTTATTTTGCGTAGAGCCGAAGGATTTATCTTTATCGTTCGACGCGTATATAAATTTTATGTTTGCACAATACCTTGACTTTCTTGTCAATTTCTGGTCGCTCGAGCAGACAGGTTGTCTGTTGTGCGACGTACGGCGGTGGTGGAGGCGCCTCGGGGTCGTAGTTCACGTGTTGTCCGGCGCCTCGTAAGAAACCACCGGCGACGCCAGTGATTCGACCCCTCGTTGTGTCGGCCGCCATTCTTAAGGGAAAGCTGTTCATGCTACCTTCGCCTTGACAACCGTCCTCTTCATCAACGACGCCTTCACCAGGGGTTGTGCCGCCCCTGGCGAACTGCTCCTCATCTTCGTACGCGCTTTCTGGAAACATAAAAAGTCAGATCGTTATAAAAAAATATTTGTTGCGTCATCACATATTAAACATCGAAATTTTAAAGTTTCGATTTTATGGTATAATTACATAAAATAAAGCTATTTAGATAATTGAGTATTAATCGAGTACTATGTTACAGTGACATGAGTGACAATCTTTTGTAAAAATATATTGCTGTTTTTATGAAATGTTAGCATATATTTTCCATACATATATACAAGCTACACTAAATTCGCAAAAACATAAAAAGCTAGTGCAAATATTATTATATGATCTTAAAGTTGAATATGACTTTTACAAACATTTCATATAAATTTCTTTTTTTAAAGCTGATATTATGTGAATTCAAAACACAAGATATCCTATAATCAATGAACGAAAAATGAATGAAAAATAAAGTAGTGTTGTTTATGAAATCGATTTTCTTGTAGTAAAAATATATGCAAATATAAGCAAATATTTTGTAAGTTTGAGTAAGCCAAAAATAAAAAGTTATTCTCGAATTAAATTTCACATACAAAAATATGTACTTTAATATAGATATATGTATATCTTAAGATTGAAATAGAAAAATTTATATATGTAAAAATCTTCCTTTGCTTTTTTTTGTTCTTGTAAAAAAATCGAACACATCGTCGACCATGCAAATTCCGGAATGGAAGAACGCAACGATGAACGACGCAACGATGAACGACGCAACTCTATCTTCGATGAACTATTCGAGAGAATGATGGATCGGAAG